GATATTGCTTTGGAGTAGATCTGTTATATTGCAGTCCAGCCCTCTGATTGGGATCTCTCATCCTACCATCACCTGCATGTTGGTTCCCAGAGTGTGGTTTTGGATTAAAGCTAAACCAATCAACATAAATCCTCAAAAATGTATTGGTTATTTCAATTGATGTTGCACTCCATCTTTTGTGCAGTCCTATCCAGAATATGATATTGCTTTGGAGTAGATCTGTTATATTGCGCTTCAGCCTTCTGATTGGGATCTCTCATCCTACCATCATCTGGATGTTGGTTTCCAGTACGTGGTTTTGGATTAAAGCTGGACCAATCAACATAAATCCTCAAACATGTATTGGTTGTTTTCTCATCCTAATTCAATCTAGTAGTTTTGCCTCATGATCTCCACCTCTGTGTGATGGGTCCTGAAGGTTGATGTACGATCCTATCCAGATGATGATGTTGTTTGGGGTGAAGATTCTCCCTCTTGTGCTCCACCTCAAAGAGTTTTCACTACCCGAGGCTGATGTTATGCAATTGAATATCAGTCTCATTAAGTTTGGTTTGATGTGACCTACCACATTGGCACATCCCTTTATACCGTCATTTGGATGTATGGTTCCCTGATGTATGGGTGGTTGTGTATTTGTGCACATTTGGCCCATTTCATAGATAGATTTGAAAAATAAATACTTCCATTCTACTCAACTTGAAGTGAAGATGGTGTGGACCCTCTTCCTACCATGGTTTCACACACATCATGTGATTAATTTCACACTAAAGACTAAGCTAATTAGTTACCTCAACAAATGATGATTTACCATTCCAATATACTTAACATTTTTAGTTTTGAACTTAAAGTACTGTTTAACCCTTTTGCAATGGGCTCGGTATAAAATATGGAGTTCATATACACATTTGTACTCATTAAGTATCTATACTTTAACTTTTAATACAGTATGTGTACATTCACAAAATTTGGCAGACTTTTGGGAAACATTACTGGTTTTTTGTACACAAAAAGTCAGGTTTTTTAATGAACTATTTTGACTAAAGATTTGTTTGTGAATATATCGAGTCTGTTTCCTTACTAGTCCGAGTGCAAAGTGATTTTCATATAATGATTAAAAATACTATTCTTCATTCTAAAAATCTCCAATTTTATTTGTGTAATCTATAAATACATTTCAAACATTTTATATTTTATCTGTTATTTTCTCTACACTAACTCCATAAAAACAAGGTTGGTCAATTTGACCAAACTCATACCACCAAAAAAATTGAAATAAATCTAAATTACCTTTTTCTTTTCTTTCTAGAGTGACTTCATATTGTAACATGAAACTACATTATTTTAACCTAAGTAGCATTAAACTCCTAACAGTAGACAACTATTTACACTTAAATTTTGTTGTTTTATTGCCTTTTGAATCATGTCTAACTACTAATCGTGCCATTATAAGTTGTAAATCACTTGGGAATGTGGGACTTGCATTATTCTATCAAATTACATTACCTGTGAGTTATTCCGAGCTGCTTGCATGCATGCCTCGTGACATTTTTTTATTATTATATTACTTTTATAATTTATTTTTCCTAATCTAACCTTAACTAACTTAAATAGTTTCCTATTTTTACATTTAGTTACTTTTATAATAATGAATAAAGAATACACATTAAATACAAGAAATAAAGTACTTACCTGCACCTTCTATTTTTTTTGGGTCTGTCAACTGTGGATGACACTTAACCCTATTTTTCTTATACTAATGAAAGTAGTGCACTAAATAATTTGTACTTAATTAAACAATGGACCAAAGAACATAGAATAATAACATGCAAAAAGCACACAGTTTTTGTGGCTTTCTAATTATGTGCCAAGAGCTGTTACAAATTCATCCAAACTAGTTCATTCTTTCCCGCGGGAACAAAACTTCTACTAAAAGAGAAACTGACAATTCTCTATTCAGAAAACAATGTAATATAATGCTTCATTTGCTATATCAAAATCTTGGCTTTTTATTGGTTAAAAATAATATAGTAATAAACTTAAGAGATAACTATTAACAAATATAATAAATATAGGATGTAACAGGTAGGTGTAAGAAGATGGTTCTGATTTTCTACTTAATGGTTCTGTGACTAAAGTAGATTGAAGGGTACAAGAATTATGGTTTGTCTGAGTTATGACGACTTGATAGTTAGTAATTTATGTTAAATTTCATACTTATTGGAGGGGTGAAGAACAAATTACAGAAGAAGGGATGTCTAGAGAAGAAATGTCACATTTCTCACACTAGGTGAAATTGAGGATTTTTTTCTAAATATTGCCTTATAAAATTAAAAACTTTAAACTTATATACTATTAAAATATAGATTATTAGCTACAATTTTATGCTATATTAATTGGTATAAGTTAAGCTAAAAGTAGTTTAATTAAGTTTTGAATGCAAGTCACAAAAAAACCTTGTGACATGTGCAGTAAAGGAGGCCTGTGTGGAAATGGTTAATTATTAATACAGATTTATAAGTCAGTTATTCAAAGTACTGTTTAGTATGGCTTAGATATTTTTATTTTACATTATTGTAAAATTACACTTTGATCAGTATATCAAGCTAATCACATATATATTATAAATACTGAAAAAATCAACAAATCAAGCACTGTTATTCATTCTCTAGTAAAATTAGTATAATCTACAGTCGTTTCGTCTACATATGTGTATATAGCAATTTCCACTTTGTTGTTATGATATGTCACCTTTGTGTCCTTCTTAAAGAATTTTGTGTTTAAAGAAGCATTGGGCATATCCAGACAAGACTAGAGTGCCCAGAAATTTTTTGTCTTTATAGCAGAATATTAGTGCAGTTATAATCACTAGACAGGGCCAACTATTGTGTGAGTTTTTACTGAATATTATCGTATAATTCTTTGTTAAAGGGGTGTATTGTTATTGCATCATACTTTGTGTAAAATTTCATATTTGCCTATATATGCCCCATGTCAAATCTTTCAAATGCAAATTTTCACAAGTAACCATATATTTTACCAAAAATTATATCTTATCACAGTCATTTCAATTTTGAGCTGTCAGAGAGTCACTAATGTGGAATTCTGCTAGATCCACAAAAAGACTAAAAATGTGAATGAATAATTATCAGATCTTTGATATTTTGAGTTTGGGTGCACAATTGACTGTGCTCCAAAACAATGGGTATACAAGAATAAGGAAGCACATTATGCTAATACAAGCATAAGGAAGAATTTTATTGATGGGGGAAAATACTACATTTTTTGACAGAACAGTTGTTTGTCTTCTTCCGGTTGAAACATATAGTTTGTTCCACCATCAATAATATTCTTCCTTATGCTTATAAATCATTGTTTGCCTTCCTATTATTAATGGGTATATTTACATGAGAATTACAGATCTTTCATGTTCGTGTCATGATGATAATCCTATCTGTGTAGGAAATACAGTATTTATTTACCAAAAGTTGTTAACTGAACATTACATTCTGCTTCTTGTAGTCACGCGTGCTAAATACTGAAATATTAGTTTGAGTGAGAGTTTAAAACAAGATGGCTATTGATCCTTCTCGTACTGGATATTTAAGTATTACTCTAAGTTGTTTTTATTTTGTTGTATATTTGCTTTGTCTTTTAGTTTAACTTGTTTAAGAAAAAAAATAAAATTAAAATTAAGTTTAATTTTGTCATACTTACTAATATATATATATATATATATATATATATCTTTGTTCATAATTTAATTGCTAAGTAAGAGTAAACCACTATTGCCATAAAGCTGTTAGCATGATCTTGGTCAGTGAAAGCAAATCTTTTTTTGTTTATAAATTTGAAAGTATCATACATATTTTAGTAGGATATTGAATGTAAAAAAATGTTAAATGTAAAATATTGAACAATATATTCATTTATACTTTTGTCTTAAGCAGGACTAAACCTTTCCACTTGGTTATTCATGTAAATTTGTTTTCATTCTTTTCAACATTATTGATTTATAGAAATTTTTCTGAAATTGTATTCTCCAGTCTAGTAATAAGTATATATCCTGATGTCATCCTATATTTTTCATTGACATAATATCCTAACATTCCCATATCAGTCCTCTGTGATTTTCAAATCCAAAACAATGGTTACATCATTCAGATTTTAAGGTTTTAATTCTGTTGAAGAATTAGATACCTTAGGAATGGTAGAATTTTGTTTCAGTATTATTTTAAAGTGCTAGTCTTAGAACTTCATGGTTAGTGATCTATTAGTTTTGGTTCTTTTCTTGTAGTCACTTGTGACCAACAAGCATTTCTTTTCTGTATAACATGACCTTACACTACAGCAGTGGTTTCCAAACTGTGTGTTGTGCACATTAATGTGTCACAGCAATCTGCTAGGGATGTTGCTAGTGTCTCACAAATGAAGGATGATTAAGAACAAAAAACTACAAGAAAAATATTGCATGTGGCAGCAGGGATGCCACTCAACTCTAGGTAAGTGGGTTAAGGTGTCATCAGTGAAAGAACGTTTGGAAACTACTGCACTACAGACTGCCTCAAGTCTCCACTAAATTATCAGCTTTTCTGGTTTTGAAGAATAAATTAGGTTCTACCAGCCCTTGAATGGAAAAAAGTTAATACTGTGAAAACTATTGGTGTGTGGATTTTAACACCTGATAAAAGTTTTGAAATATGAGTTAAAGTCCAAGATGACATAATGGCATGTTGGTTATATAACTAAATCACCTCTTCCCTGCCTGGTAATTTCTTGATATTGTTGAAATGCATGCAGCAATGGTCATTTGTGCCACAAAATTCTTTTTTATGAAATTTTCTGTGCATTTAAATGTTTTTAGAGAGCATATTCTCTTTTTTAGTAACAACCTGCATGTCTAAACAATTAAATGTAATTTTAGTTCAAGTCAAAGTAATTGATAACTTGTTTTTTCTACATCTTAACTGGATATGTTATATGAAACAAATTTTCTTTTCAAGCTTCCTCTGTGGGTTTGTTCAGACTGCAAGACGCGTGTTGAAGAGGAACAGAGGACATTTGAACCTCCTGTAATGGTAATTTCATTTTTCCAACATATAGTTTTTTTCATGTCATGTTCATAGACATTAATAGCAATAAGTTATTTAACACTTATCTAAGAAGTCCTCATTTTTATAATGGAGAAAGAGTAACCTTGACATACAAATTTTCCGACATGATATTTTACCTATACTCACATTACAGATTCTCTCAACTTGTGCTGCCCTCTATATGTGCCAACTTTTGCTTGCTGCTAGCCTCAATACTCCAATTTACCCTCATCTTTTTTCACCTGAGGCACCTGTGTGATTGCATCCAGATGAGTGTGTGACAACTCTCCACTAGTGGGAGTGCAACACAACTCCTAGCACAACTAATTTCCTCTATGCAGCTTAGCTCAACTTCAATTCTTGATTGACACTCGTGGTGTTTAGATATAATTTTTGCTCAAGCTTTACTCATCAAATTTCAATCAGTTACTTGTTGTTTTTTCGAGAACTTTTTTTTTTTAGTTTGCTACACTTCAGTTTACACGTTAATATTACATACTTAAATTTCTTATGTTTTTTTTTTATTAGTTATCATAGTTATCATGAATTCAGAGTTTAATGTTACAACTACTACTACTGCTGCTGTTCCAACTGCAGTTAACCTTACTTTGTATACATTGGCTTAGGATCCGCAGTTATTGGCGGAAGACCTTATGGCTTTGGTTCATTAGGAGTTGACTACTTTTGTGTGGGCTTCTGATTCATCTAAAGATTATCCTGTCATGCCTTGTTCAGGAGTGCCTGCACAAGAGGATGACGATTTTGACAGCCTGTTTTCTCCCCCACTCTATGCCACACAGTCACATTTAGCTCCAGTCCAGGCCTCCTCCTCTTTTTCCTGGAGTTGATCAACAAGGATTGTTACATTTCTTCCTTGTTACCCATTTCCTTTAGTTTCTTCCCACCCTTACCAGATATTTGGGTTCATGCCAATAAGTTTACAGACCAATTACATTCTGGGGTTAGTATGCATTGACCCCTGCATAATATGGAAGCCTATGCTTTGGCTTATTGTCAGTATGAGTTTCCTTTTTTGGACTTGCAGCATTTGGCTCCTCTTCTGCTTCTGCCTTCTTGTGTTTAGGATCTTAGTATTTCATTGTTGTTTTCCTAACCTCAATTTTCCCATATTTTCCTCACCATATCCTACCTTCTTTGTCCCCTTTCTTCTATTCACCTTTTGTCTGAGGCTCTACATTGTTTGCCTGAGGGATTTTAAGTGCAGACTCATGCCCTGATTTTTACCACTTTGGCACAGTTGCCTTCTTTCCCTCCTAACTTAGCTCATGTGTTGTTGGGATCATGTGAGTTGAGATGCCCTTTTGTTTCATGTCCGTTTATCTGCAGCCTCCTTATTGTATTTGCTTATGGCTCCCTGTTTAAGGCAAGTAGTTTTGGGGGCTTTCTGAATTCATTAAAGGCCAGAGTTGAGTCTGCCCATTTGCACACCTCCCCTTCCTCATTGGCTTCCTGTTTATCTCAGCCTCCTTCTGAACCTGCTCCTGTGACTTGTCCCCCTCTTTTCTCTCCCTGACTAGTTCCTGTTATAGGTCTCCAAGGTTATCCACTGGAATTATGTTGACAACATCAGCACTCCCAGTGATTATGTGATAGGTACAGGTCCGGTGGGGCTAGGCTTTTGTATTTGCTACCGTGTAGAAGTCTTTAACCACAGACTCTTGGGTTCTGTATGTTCTCTCCTATGGGCTTGTTTCTTGTTTTTCTTTTCCCCCTCCCCTGTCCCCTCACCCAATCTCTTTCCACCCCCTCCTCAGGATCCCATTTCCAGCAAACTTCTATCCTTGATGGTTTTAGAGCTTCTTTGCAAAGGTACTGTGGAATGGGTGGTTCCTTCTCAGCCACGTTTGTATTCCCATTTGTTTATTGTCCCCAAGAAGACAGGGGACTGGTGTCCCATAATTGATCTTTCTTCCTTGAACTGCTTCCTCAACCTTCCTCAATTCACCATGGAGTCATATCTCTTGGAGGAGTTTTCACTCCTGATATGTGGATGATGAAAGTAGATGTCTTGGATGTTTACCTCCACATTTCCATCTCCCTAGCATCCTAGAATTTTCGTTGTTTTGTCTATTGGGGTTGCATCTACCTGTTCCAGACTCTTCCTATCAGATTGGTTTTGGCTCCTTATGTTTTCTGTTGGGTGGTCAAGGACTTTGCCCATCTTTTTCATTCCAGGGACCTTTGTTTCCATCATTACATGGATGACTGGCTGCTTCTAGCTCCTTCACATGCTACCTCTTCTCTTCACACACAGTTTCTTCGAGAAGCTGCATGGGTAGGTTGGCTGGTCAAGGTGGAGAAGTCCTTCTCTCTCACTCAGTATGGAGTATTTTTCAATTCCTGTCTCAACTGGGTCCAACCTTATCCCCTTTGCCTGTGATCTATGAAGTTTCTGGATCAGGCTGTTTTCTCCTCTCCTTCAAATGCAGGAGAGGTTCTATCTCTTTTGGGGATGTGGGTTTCTTTGGAGGTTTTCACTCCCCTTGGTTGAGCTTGCATGTGCAACCTCTTCAGTGGGTTTTACAAGGTCACTAGAACTTCATTTCAGAATCCTTTAAACACCCCTATCCATATTTTTCCTTCCCTGCATATGGGCTTTGCTTGGTGGTTGAACTGAGACAATCCCACAGTGAGTGGTCTTCCTTTATGTCCTCCTTGTCTGGAGGTGCACCTCTTCAGGTTGCTGTGAGTATCTGGTGAGTATTTGGTCATATCAATCTCTTAGAACTGCTTGCTCTTTGTCAGACTTTGGCTCATTTCCTTCCATCTCTCCAGAACTGGTCAGATATGATACATTCAGATAACTCCATGGCTGTCTTGTAAATCACTCACAAGGGGACAATCAGTTGAGGTCTCTTTGTTTCCACACATTGGACTTCCTGTTTTGGGCTCACAGCCATCACATTTGTTTGATAGCACGCCATATACCAGGTGCCCTGAATCTGGTTGCAGATTGTTTATTGTGCCTGAACAAAATTATCTCCATGGGGTGGTCCCTCGACCCACAGATGTTTGGTTAGCTCCATTCACCACTCACCTGAATTCCAAACTTCCCGGGTTTTGGTTTCCTATTCCTCATCCTTTGGCTGTAGCTGTTTATGCCCTGAGTCAGGATTGGGGGGGGGGGGCATTACCTTAATGCATATCCTCGCATCCGTCTTCTTCCTCATGTGGTCTCCATCATACAAGCCATGCCGTGTTGAGTTCTCTGGTGGTTCCACTTGGCTGGCAAAGCTGTGGTTTCCACTTCTGCATCTTTTGACAACCTTATTCAGGGATGCTACATCCTTCTCTTCCCATGCTCCATCTTCATGCTTGACTTTTGTATGGTCCTTTGCCAAATTATCATTGCATGTTGCTTTCCTAATTTCTCATTCAGTGCACCCTTCCTCCATGTCCTTTTACCAACATAAGTGGTATGTCTACCATCATTGGTTTTCTTGCCACGACTTTCCTCCATTCTGGCCTACTCTCCCGCACCTGAATTCCTTCCTTACCTGACTTTTTGACAAGGGGCTGACAGTATCCACTATTGCTAGTTATCTCATGGAATTGTCATCCACCTTCCGTGTCACAAGATTTCTCCATGTCTTCACTTCTCTAGTCCTCTTGTTTTGTTTCTTCCACCTTCATTGTCCCTTTGTGTCCTACCACCCTCTCTGATTGGAACCTCAGTGTTGTCTTCCTGTTCCTTATATTATCTCTTTTTAAAGATCTTTTTTCTCCTCGTCTTGGCATGTGGAAGTTGACATTCAGATTTTTTCACTCTTGATGTCTCTTGCCCATTTTATCACTGGTCCTATGTCATCCTCTACCCAGATTGATCTTTCCTGCCCAAAACTTTGGCTACTTGTGAGGGTGAATTTCCTCTGCTGCCATTTCTCACCGTTATCTTTGTTCTGATCTGGATCAACAATTATATCCTGTCTGGGCTCTCCACTGTTTCATGGCTTGCACCGCTCCCTTCTGTGGTTCCCCTTCCCATTTGTTTATTCTTTGGAACCCATGATATTTCTGCCATGTTCCTGACTGCCTAATTCTGTTGTCCTTTAGAAGATATAGTTCATGCTGGCATGTGAACCATTCCCCATACATTTATCTTGCATAATCTGTATCATCTGGCCAGTTCCAGCTCTTCAAGCTACCATCTTGAGCTGCACGATTTCTCTATGAGTGATTAGGTGTTTTTTTTTTATACAGTTCTTTTTTACAGGGTCTTTCTCGCATGCACAAATCCCGCTGAGTGGGTAGTGTTGTCTGACCAGGTATACTTATTCTTAAACCAGCACTGTGCAGCCATTCAGGTCAATAATGCCCACCAATGAGATGTAGGTGTTCACAACAAGACTGCTTGTAGGTTTTTCCTTACAGTGTTTAGCATCATAAATATGTTCAATCCAGACCATACACTCATAGAATAACTTGAGTAAAGCAGACAGGGATTGCTGCCCATCCCTGCTGCTTTTTAGTTTGGCTGTATCAGGAACGGTCTGCTTTTCAATATAAGGTTTCACAGTCACTCATTGCACTGTTTCCAGTGTTGCATTTCTCCAGACTCTCCAATATATTCTCCCCCATTCTTCCAGTGGAGTACAAGAGTCCTTGCCACTTACCAGCTACTAGTCACTGGGGTGATGGACCATGGAGGCTTCATCTTGAGTGGACTCAATTCTATCCTGTTAGAGTAGGGTGATGGTGTTCTGCTAGTGTATAGACACTCCTCCTACCTCAGACAGGATGTTCTATTCCAGATGCTGCATGGTTATGGACTGAATGATTTCTGCTACAATGTAGGTTGCCCCTCCGGTTGGACACACTCCTTCCTACCATTATCCAGATGTCAATTCCTAGTTAGAGCTGGACCAGCTACATAAGACCTCACATGTGAGTGGCCCAGGTACCCTAATGCTACCGTGGACTAGATGATTCATTCCCAATGTCATCTGGTTCTGGACTGGAGTTGAACTGCCACATAGCTGTTTGCATTCCTATCATCGTCTGGATGTCAGTTCCCAGGGGGTATTGGTGTTAGACATGCACACATGAGGATACGGGTTCTTGGAAAAGAAGATCTTCTTCCCTTCCAGTTCCTGTGTCTGTGGTGAATGGTGAACCATGGGCCGGGTATTACTCTCACAGTACTGTTGGTGTTGGTTGAGGTCAAATTCTTTATTACGGTCTGCTTCACCTTAGCCACTTTACACCAGGGGTTCCTTCTTTGATTCTGCCCTTATTGCAACACATCAGTTGCACTGGTGAAGAGTATACCTGGCTCAGAAGTGGTGCAGTTTCTCATGGGTGTGTCTTACATACTTTTTTATTCACACACCCCAGGGCTTTCTTTGGGCATTTTCTGAAAGAAACTCATCTAGGTAATGTTACACTGGTCCCTCCACCAGGTTAGTGTGGGATTCTAGCTGTTATGTGAAAAGGGGTTAGATATTGTGTCATAAATTAACATTTCCCACACTGAAAATGTATTCCCAATAGATTCTTACCTCTGCTTCACCTTAGCCACTTTACACCAGGGGTTCCTTCTGTGATTCTGCCCTTATTGCAACACATCAGTTGCACTGGTGAAGAGTATACCTGGCTCAGAAGTGGTGCAGTTTCTCATGGGTGTGTCTTACATACATTTTATTCACACACCCCAAGGCTTTCTTTGGGCATTTTCTGAAAGAAACTCATCTAGGTAATGTTACACTGGTCCCTCCACCAGGTTAGTGTGGGATTCTAGCTGTTATGTGAAAAGGGGTTAGATATTATGTCATAAATTAACATTTCCCACACTGAAAATGTATTCCCAATAGTTTCTTACCTCTTCTCAAACTTCCCACCGTTTCTCCCCACTTCTGGGTTTTTTTTCATGTTGCTCAATATCGAAGGGAAGTTGAGCTAAGCTGCATAGAGGGAGTCAGCTATGCTATTTTTCTGGCTTTCTAACTATGCAACATTAGCCATTACAAATTCATCCAAGCTAGTCTACATGTTCCCCATGGGAACGAAGCTTGTACAGAAAACAATGTAATATAATATATCATTTGATAGATGTAAACCTTGGATTTCAATTGGTTATAAATAATATAGTATTAAACATAAGTGAGAACTATCAACAAAACCTGAAAGAGAGGATGTGACAAGAGGGGTCTGATTTTCTATCTGATGGCTCTGTAACCAAACAAGATTTGAAGACTAGGAAAATTATGCTTTGTCTGAGCGATGATGATATTATAGTAAGTAATTTACATTAAATTTTGTACCAAAAGAGTTGTGAATAAATTAGAGAAGAGGGGATGCCTAAAGAAAAATGTCATTTCTCAAACTGAGGGATATTCAGGATTTTTTTTTTTTTAATATTGCCTTATAAAATTAAAAACTTTAAACTTATATACTATTAAAATATGGATTATTAGCTACAATTTTATGCTATATTAACTGGTGTAACATAAAGAAAAGGTAGTTTAACTCACTAAAAACCTTGTGACCATAGGATCCCTGTGGTAAGAGGGTTAATTATCATTAAACAAATGCTAAACTGGAAGAAATCATTCATTTGTAAATGTATACCAAAAATATGGTGATTGCCTTTCATTATTATTGGAATTTAATTATTGTTTTGATATAAAATTTATTTATTACAGGACTATATCCCTAAAAGTAGAGATTCTCCAACATTTTATGATGAAGATGTGCAAGAAGTGAACTTTTCTGGTGAAGATGACTTATCTTCTGTTTGTCAGTGTGAAACCTGTAATGAAAGAAGGTGAAAATAATTTATATATATGTATTTTTGTACTTTTTAAAACTTTTTTAAGAATTGCATTGCAAGTCTAAAAAAAAAGTGTTTTAATATTTTCTGAGAGCAAGATTCATCTAGTTTTATACGTGGTTTACTGTTGTATCTAAATTTTTTGCATGTTAACTATCTCTACATATAAAATTTTATATAGGAGTATAAAAAGTTCAAGTTAAAAGTCAACCACTTTGTAATACATTTTTCAGTTTTGGCTCTGTTGAGATTTTACGTATGTCTGTAATGTATAGTGAGAAATTATATGAAATTTATTATATATATATTTTTTATGAATTTTTTGAGTAAAATGCACTACTTCAGTCACATATCTAAAATGAATATAGTTGTTTTAATTTATTTCTGCTTCTAAAAGCATAAATCAAGCTAATTGGCTGGTTGAAAACAAAAATGCTTGGATAAATAGTCTCTCACATAGAATACTAGTCCCATTGCAAACAGTCCGTTACATAAAAGTAAATTCCAACATTTGTCAAAATGTTTTTCCTTATCCATTAACAATCACTATTTTTCTGTTAAAGATATTTCTTACATGGTTTTAGTGAAGTAATAGGATTAAATATAATAATTAAAGTGATTTTGTTTTTAAACTATTAAGATGTATACACGTACACATGATAATTCAAGACATGTATGTAGCAGAAAATTACTGTATTTTTCTAAATATAAGACGCACCCTTATTTTGAAGACAAAGTTTTGGCGGGAAAAAAAGCTACAGTCGCATTTGAAAGATTTTTATTGAACAACAATTCAATTTGATACTTTAAAAATTAGTATATATTGTTCTAAACACAAAAGAGCTCAAAACATCAAAATAAGAAAATATCGTAAATCAAAAAAAAAGTTTACTGTTATTTAGTTTGGTTCAAAACCTACAAAATCTTCATTGCTTTCACTGTAATTTATTTAGGGAGCATTATAAATTATGTTTTTAAAAGAAAAAAAACTACAATTGTTATAATAACACATTCAATTGAACTAAACTATG